CCAGCTCCACAAGGGGACAAGCCACTGTCCCAGCCCCACCTGGGTGAGCTCACGGCCTCTCATGTCACCCCGGAATCCATCCAGCTGGAGTGGAGCGTCCCCGAGGGCACCTTTGAGTCCTTCACTGTGCAGTACAGGGACACACAAGGCCAGCTGGAGTCCCTGCTCATCGATGGAGGGTCCCGCACGGTGACCGTGGCTGGGCTGTCCCCATCCCACTGCTACAATTTCTACCTGTACGGGCTGGTGGGGCACAAACGTGCGGGGCCCATTCGCCCTTGACACCATCACAGGTGAGGGTGTGGGCAGGATCCATCCATGTCCCCTCTGGGTCTGGGGACTGGTTGTGGGGTGGGGCCGGAGCTGGGGCTGGGTCTGTCCTGGTCCCTTGGGCCTGGTGGAAACTGGGAAGAACTGTTGGGCGCTGAGTGGGAGGTGGCTGGAGGGGTGGGAGCCGGGAAGACTTTAGGGATGGAGGGATGGAAATAGTTTGTTGGATGGAGGGATGGTTGGATGGGAGCATGCAAAGGTGAAGGGATTGGGGGATGTGGAGGGATGGATGGTTTATTGTCTGGATGGATGGGGACAAGGATGGTTGGGTGGATGGAGGGATGAATGGAGACCTCATGGGGATGGAGGGATGGATTGACGATGGATGGATGGATGAGTGGACGGATGGAGACCGCATGAAATGGATGGATGGATGGATGGGTGGTTCGGTGGTTGGGTGGAGGGATGGAGGGATGGATGGTCAGATGGGCGGACACACAGCTGGATGGATGGATGTGTGGAGGACTGGTGGCATTGGTGGGTGGATGGATGGATGGATGAAGGTGCACGGAGGATGGATGGATGGTTAGAGGAATGTTTGGTTGGTTGTTGAACAGATGGATGGAAAAATGGGAGGGTGGGTGGATGGGTCGATTTTCATGCCCTGCATTGTCCCCTCTCCCTTGCAGCCCCAGCTCCACCAAAGGAGGAACCACCATCTGAACCCCGCCTGGGCGAGCTCACGGCTTCCCAGGTCACCCCCGACTCCGTCCAGCTGCAGTGGAGTGTCCCCGAGGGCACCTTTGACTCCTTCACGTTGCAGTACAGGGCCGCACAAGGCCAGCCCCAGGTGCTGCCCGTGGACGGTGGTTCACGCACGGTGACTGTGCCCGGGCTGTCCCCATCGCACCACTACAAGTTCAACCTGGCCTGGGCGAGCTCACGGCTTCCCAGGTCACCCCCGACTCCGTCCAGCTGCAGTGGAGTGTCCCCGAGGGCACCTTTGACTCCTTCACGTTGCAGTACAGGGCCGCACAAGGCCAGCCCCAGGTGCTGCCCGTGGACGGTGGTTCACGCACGGTGACTGTGCCCGGGCTGTCCCCATCGCACCACTACAAGTTCAACCTGTACGGAGTGTGGGGTCAGGAACGTGTGGGTCCCGTCTCCACCGACACTGACACTGGTGAGGACAACTGTGGACCATTTCTGTGTCCCCTTTGGGTGCTGGTTTTAGGGTGTGACAGGAGGTGGGTCCATCCTGGTCTCTTGGGACTTCTGGAAACTGGAAACAACTCCAGGGTGCAAAGAAGGGTGTGGATGGAGGGATGGGTGGTGTGATGGTGGAGGGTTGGATGGATGGATGGATGGATCGATAGATGGATGGTTGGATGGATGGATGGATGGATGGTTGATGGTTGGATGGATGGGTGAATGGATGGATGGGTGGATAGATGGATGGGTGGATGTATGGATGGTTGGATGGATCATTGGATGGATGGATCAATGGATGGTTGGATGGTTGGATGGGTCGATGGATGGTTGGATGGTTGATGGTTGTATGGATGGTTGGATGGGTGGATGGCTGGATGGATGGTTGATGGTTGGATGAATGGATCGATGGATGGACAGATGGATGGGTGGATGGATGGATGGTTGATGGTTGGATGGCTGACAGTTGGACAGTTGGCCCGTTGCTGATTGGCCGGTTGCTGTCTCCATGTGGGGGTTTCTCTGGGGTTGTTGATTGGAGGGGTGGCTCCAAAGTGGGCTTCCCTGGGGGTGTATTTGGGGGGACAGTCAGTGGGTGGGTC